TATACTTTGACAACGGGAAGGGTTGGGAGAGAGCGAGATCAACGGGAAGGGATGGGAGAGAGCGAGAGCAGTGGGAAGGGATGGGAGGGCTATTCGAGGCGAGCATGAAGGCGACTGGGTGGGTGATGGCAGGGGCGAGAGGAAGAGCGACAAGAGGGCGACTTGGCGAGAGCGCCACGGCGACGGGGTGGGTCATGGGAAAAGAGAGAGGAAGGATGGCGGTAGGGCTATACTAACTAAACGAAAATGGCGTTGGAAGGGCGGTGCGATAGGAGATGAAGTGGGGAAGGAGAAAGGCGACCGGAGGGAGAGCGCGAAGGCGACGGGCGAGAGAGCGGACAGGAGACGGGGGGAGAGCGCAAAGGCGACGGGAGGGAGAGCGGACAGGCGACGGGAGGGGGAAGGGATATCGCGAGGGCGACGGGAAGAAACGAAGGAAAAAGGGGACATTGAAGGCAACGTGAGGGAAGGGAGATAGTGACGGCGACGGGAAGGAAGAGGGGACATCGAAGGCGAGGGGCGGGAGAACGGGAAGGCGACGGGATCGGAGGGAAATCGCGAGGGCGAGGGGACAAGAGGGGTGAACAGGAGAATAACGGACCGGGAGGGGAGACCGTGACGACGACGGGAGGGCCGTCGCGCGTGTGTTTGCGAGGGCGACGGTAAGGCGACGGGACGGACTAGAGAGCGAGGCAACGGCGGACCCCACTAGCAATGGCGAGTGCGACGAGCAGCGAGGGGAGATAAATGAGGTGACAGACAGCGAAGGGAGATAATGAGGGCTACCGTCATACCCCGGATAGAAGTGCCCCTGGGGTTGTAATAAAACACTGTTTTTTAGGGGGTGCGCTTATAATTGAGGAAATTTATAAGCGCCGGCGTTTATATAACGGCAAAATGAAATTAAGTTTTTTTTAACACCAAACTGTAGATCTCGTTCTTCCAAGTGTCATCGAGTCGAAAATATATGGGGTCGCGAATCTGACTCTCGAGCAACTTGGCAGGGATTGATTCCCTACCAACACATGCTGTTTAAGCGACAGCGCGTGCTGACTAGACGCGGAGCAAGTGTGATGTGAGTGGGAAAGTGGAACTGTACTTCGCTTCCCTGGTAAGGGGAATTTCGTTTCTGAATTTTGACTGATTTCGTATAGTATTCGACATGCGCTTACAATAAATCACAAATTTTTAGGGGGTGCGCTTATAATTGAGGACCGGATATAAGCGCCCTCATCCCTTTATAAGCGCCGGCGATTATCTGAGGTCTGCGCTTCTATCCGGGGGCTTACGGTATGGCTTAGGGGGGAGGAATCGCTTGTGCGACGAGGTGGGGCCGACAGTGATGAGCAAATTGATGATTGCGTGAGACGGGAAACTGGCACTGCGCTACCAGGCCATGTAAACCTACATTTTACACTCTTGCTAAGTCGACAATTGACGCACTTGTCGGTAATTACGTGGCCATGACACGAACGCATGTGCTTCCAGCTGTACTACTTACTATTGTCAAATATTATAGCCTGTAGTGGGTTGGGCTATATGGGGTACAACTAGTTAGGGTTAGGTTATGTACCCCAATCCTGTCAATACAACCCATTCCGCTGTAGTTCTCATTCTGACATGGTATCAGAGCACGCGAGACGTCGCCATGAGGGGCGAGGACAAGTGATAGCGGCCGCCAGCCGCGAGAGGAGGAGGAGAGGGAGGTGAGTGCGAGGCGGGTGCGCGCAGGCGGGGCGCGCACTGGCTGGGCGCGGGGCGGCGGGGCGCGCGCTGGCGCGGCGCGCTCCGGCGCGGCGCGCTGGCTGGTGTGGCGCGCGGGCGCGGCGCGCTGGCTGGCGTGGCGCGCGGGCGCGGCGCGCTGGCAGGCGGCTAAGCAGGGCGCGCGCTGGCGGGCGCGGCGCGCTGGCGTGCGCGCTGGCGGGGCCCGCTGACGTGGCGCGCTGGCGGGCTGGCAGGGCGCAGTGGTAACCCTAGTGGTAGGGAAGGGCGGGCCTAGGACTAGGAGCGCTAACCTACTGCTGATACCATGACTAGAAGGGGCACCACTGCGCCCAGTGCTCGGGGGGCCTGTAGGTCTCCACTGCTGCGGGGGGGCCCACTGCTGCGAAGGGCCCCACTGCTGCTGAGTGCCCCACTGCTGGGGCTGCTGCTGAGGCGGACGCTGCTGTTGGCCCTGGCGCTGCTGCTGCTGTCCCTGCCGCTGCTGCTGTCCAGGCGGTGGCAGCTGCGGAGGAGTCTGCTGCTGCTGCTGCTGCGAAAACCCCTCACCACCGTCTAGAGGAGAGCCGTCAGGTCCCGAGTCACCCCCGCCGCCACCCCCGCCACTAGTACTACCGCCACCGCCGCCACCCGCAACGCCCCCAGAACCCCCGCCGCCCTTCCCTCCCTTCTTGCCGGACTTGCCACGTTTCTGTCCGCCAGAGACAGAAACGGCCGCCGTCTCCTCAGAGGCAGAAGACGCGGCAGTGGCAAGCGAGGCAGTGAAGGTGGGAAGCTGTGGTACCGCACACCCCTCAAAGAGACGAGGAGGAGGCGCGGAAGAGGCGGGGGCAACAGCGAGGAGGTTACTCTCGATCTTCGAGAGAGCGGTCTCAAGAAGATCGATAGTAAGCTCAGTGGGGTGCTTCAGGAGAAGCGCGTCGCAGGCTGTGGCTAGACGGTCAGGGAGGGGAGTGACTAACCAGTGAATAGTGAACCACATGGGGGGGGGTGCAAGGGCAAGCTGTTCCTTAGTGCAAGCGGCCTTGAAGCAAGCTTCAAGGGAGCGCAGGTGGGTAGCGAGGTCAGCGACAGTCTCAAAGGAGGCGAGGTCAGGGTAGATAAAGGGGACGAGGAGGCGGCTGAGGGAGGCAGAGGAGGGAGTGGAGTAGCGAGCAACAATAGCAGTGTAAAGGTCTGCAGCAGACTCGACCTGAGTGAAGTGGACAGCCTCAGTCGGCGGGAGAAGGTCGGTCAGGGCGAGGCAGGCAGCAGCGTCACGAGTACTGGATCCTGACGGGTCTGCGCAGGGGCACGTACTGCGGCCGCCCTGACCACTCTGCTGCACGCTGCTTCAGCCGTCTTGACGACCTGTACGTCCTGCACCACGGTCCCTCCGCTCCCCCGCCACCGCGCTGGGGACCACTCCTTGCTCGTGGTGTTGCTGTGTTTGATATGTCTATGGATGATGCTAGGTCTTATGCCATGTATGCTGATGTTGACTATAGTGCTGTCGGATCTGTTTACTTGCCTGTACCTAGCGTAGGATCTTTGCCTGTTGCTAGAGTAGGTGCTGGTGTAGGATCCTGTCTAGCTACTAGTACAGGTGCTCCCTCGGCGGACGCGTCGCTCTCCTTCACACTGGACTCCGGAGCGACGCAGTGCTTCTTCCGCGACAGCACGACTCTTACTCCACTCTCGGCGCCGGTTTCTGTAGCACTGGCCGATCCCTCTTCGGGACCGGTCATTGCGACTCACGCCACTACCCTCCCGTGCCCAGCTGCCCCTTCCAGTTCTCTGACCGGCCTCCACGTTCCTACGTTCTCTAGGAACCTGGTTGGTGTGGCTCCTCGGGCGAGACAGCACGTCGGGGTCTGGTTTGAGCCTTCGGGTGACACTACAGTCTGTGTGGACGGTGACACGTACGCCCCTCTGGCCACTTTTCGTCAGGAGCCGGGCTCTGGTCTGTACACGTTCCACACCGACACCCGTCTGATTCCCCCGTACCACCAGGTAGCCAGGTCCAGTCAGGTAGCTGTGCCAGGTCTAGTGGCTGCGTCGTGCTCGTGTCGGTCGCTGTCCCACCCTGCCCTCCTCTGGCACCACCGCCTTGGTCACCCGTCCCTCTCTCGTCTCAGCGCTATGTCCAATCAGCGTCTTGTCTTAGGCCTCCCCCGCGACCTCCCGCCGCTCCCGCCGTCCCCCGCTCCTCCGTGCGGTCCTTGTGTCCAGGGTCGGCTGCGCGCCACTCCTCACTCCTCCTCCCTTCGTCCAGCCTCCGAGCCCTTTGAGACACTCCCGAGATCTACGCTGGGGCCCTTGCTGCTCAGGAGCTACGCTGGTTGACCTTTTTGCTCACTGACCTTGGTGAGCGGCCGAGCTCTGCACCGACCCTGTTTGCTGACAACAGGGCGATGATTCTCCTGTGTCGTGAGCCTCGACTGGAGAGCCGAGTGAAGCACATCGACGTCAGGTACTTCCTCCTTCGAGAGGAGCAGAGACGCGGACAGGCTCGTCTGGACTTTGTGGCCTCCGAAGCCAACACTGCAGACATCTTCACCAAGGCCCTCCAGCCTTGTGACCACCGTCAGTTTTGTCTGCAGTTAGGCCTCGTTGAGACTGGGTCTAGTTGACTGCTGTAGGGTGCTCTTTGTCTGTTGCTTGCTTGTACCTTATATATACATTTGTTTGCACACTTTTGGACTGGCCTTGTGGCCCTTTGCTTGTGCTCAGATTAGGTGGTGACGTTGTGATCCACCCTGAGCTTTGTTTTCTTTCTCTTGTTTTGTTGCTTGCTTGTGACCGTAGGTTGCTTGTTGTTGATTGGCCTTCCCCACTTAGGCTATGGGGGTGTGTCAAATATTATAGCCTGTAGTGGGTTGGGCTATATGGGGTACAACTAGTTAGGGTTAGGTTACGTACCCCAATCCTGTCAATACAACGCATTCCGCTGTAGTTCTCATTCTGACAACTATGCTATGCGGGAACTAGTGATGAATGGAGTGACAGAAATCTAGTAATGCACACACCACCAGCTTGAAAATGAGGTTGGGCCTGCGATGGGAAACCATAGCCTGGGGTTTGTCGTGCGGATGCGGCATGCAAAAATGCGACGGCTGAAATGAGAAAGAAAATTCATTTTGGCGGGAACCATTACGTTCCATTGTGGTGAGAGCCAATGACATGAGTTCACTCTGCCCATACAAATCATTTGAAACAATGTTTTTGAGACTGGTTTCATCCTCACTTGCAACTCCTCATTCAAGTTGGGACGGGGGTCACTATTTTAGCTGCTGGCTTTAAAGCTCGTCATCAGCAGCAGCAGCAGCAGGCGAGTCATCTCCCATAAGGTCCTCCAGGCTAAACTCCTCCTCCTCCACCACCTGCCCATCCTTGCCGTCCCATGGCTCCCTGCTCTCCGCCTCTGGAATGCTCTCCACGGGCTCTATGCCTCGACCACCGCGGGCTGCCAGGCGCACAAACTCACTGATAAACGACAGGGATTGCAGAGATCAGGAAGGAAAAATGAGAAAAATGAGATAAGTGAACGGAAAGTTAGCAAGCAGATCAGTAACTGGACTCTTCTGGTGAAGTAAGACAGGGAGAATGCAACAGAAGGGCACTGTGGAACTCAAGAGAAGCCGCCACGACAGCACTGAAGTGTGTAGGTAGGCAGAGAGAAAACAGGCCAGTAGGTTAAGTTGACTCTGTTCTGTTCACCTGAGGCCTGAAGCGATCTGCTTACCTCAAGCCCTCTGCTCTGCTCACCTCAGGCGCTCTGCTCTGCTCACCTCAGGTGCTCTGCTCTGCTCTGCTCACCTCAGGTGCTCTGCTCTGCTCTGCTCACCTCGAATGCTCTGCTCTGCTCTGCTCACCTCGAATGCTCTGCTCTGCTCTGCTCACCTCGAATGCTCTGCTCTGCTCTGCTCACCTCGAATGCTCTGCTCTGCTCTGCTCACCTCAGGTGCTCTGCTCTGCTCTGCTCACCTCAGGTGCTCTGCTCTGCTCTGCTCACCTCAGGTGCTCTGCTCTGCTCTGCTCACCTCAGGTGCTCTGCTCTGCTCTGCTCACCTCAGGTGCTCTGCTCTGCTCTGCTCACCTCAGGTGCTCTGCTCTGCTCTGCTCACCTCAGGTGCTCTGCTCTGCTCTGCTCACCTCAGGTGCTCTGCTCTGCTCTGCTCACCTCAGGTGCTCTGCTCTGCTCTGCTCACCTCAGGTGCTCTGCTCTGCTCTGCTCACCTCAGGTGCTCTGCTCTGCTCTGCTCACCTCAGGTGCTCTGCTCTGCTCTGCTCACCTCAGGTGCTCTGCTCTGCTCTGCTCACCTCAGGTGCTCTGCTCTGCTCTGCTCACCTCAGGTGCTCTGCTCTGCTCTGCTCACCTCAGGTGCTCTGCTCTGCTCTGCTCACCTCAGGTGCTCTGCTCTGCTCTGCTCACCTCAGGTGCTCTGCTCTGCTCTGCTCACCTCAGGTGCTCTGCTCTGCTCTGCTCACCTCAGGTGCTCTGCTCTGCTCTGCTCACCTCAGGTGCTCTGCTCTGCTCTGCTCACCTCAGGTGCTCTGCTCTGCTCTGCTCACCTCAGGTGCTCTGCTCTGCTCTGCTCACCTCAGGTGCTCTGCTCTGCTCTGCTCTGCTCTGCTCACCTCAGGTGCTCTGCTCTGCTCTGCTCTGCTCTGCTCTGCTCTGCTCACCTCAGGTGCTCTGCTCTGCTCTGCTCACCTCAGGTGCTCTGCTCTGCTCTGCTCTGCTCTGCTCACCTCAGGTGCTCTGCTCTGCTCTGCTCACCTCAGGTGCTCTGCTCTGCTCACCTCAGGTGCTCTGCTCTGCTCTGCTCACCTCAGGTGCTCTGCTCTGCTCTGCTCACCTCAGGTGCTCTGCTCTGCTCTGCTCACCTCAGGTGCTCTGCTCTGCTCTGCTCACCTCAGGTGCTCTGCTCTGCTCTGCTCACCTCAGGTGCTCTGCTCTGCTCTGCTCACCTCAGGTGCTCTGCTCTGCTCTGCTCACCTCAGGTGCTCCTGTTCGAAGGCACTCTTGAAAGGGCTGAACCGCTGCTTCTTGGCGTTAAGGGCAATGAGAGCCGGGTATCCATAGCCTCCCACGCCAAGGGCCTTCTCCAGAGCCGGCTGTGCCCCTGCCTCCGCCCACACATACCTGCAGATGCATGCGAGGGACGGGGTGAGGGGATTGGAGGAGAGAGATGGAGGGGGGGGGGGCCAACGTGGGTGAGGGGGAGGGAGCAGGAGACATAGAATAGTTCGGCTGAGCACCAGCCTCCGCCCACACATACCTGCGTATGCATGTGAGACACGGGGTCCGAGGGTGCGAGGTGAAGGAGGGGGGCGGGTGGAACATGGCGTGAATGGGAGGGAGCAGGAAGCATTGCAGGATTTGGGAATGGGAATGGTAGCAAACGACAGGCCTTCATGAGCCTGCCTGCCTGCCTGGCACTGAGTGAGTGGCACAGGAGAGGGGGCCCTCGCTTGTGATCACAGATGCACTCACTAATAGCAGTCCCGGCTCTCGGTAGTAGCAGCCCAGGCACTCACTTGTAGAAATTCTTCTTGAACTTGTCAGCGACAGCGAGAATGGTGTCTAGGTACTTGTTGCGGCCACTGGCACCGCTGTCAAGGATGTGTGGGAGGAAGGTGACAAAGCAGATGGTGGAGTCTGTGCATCCCGCCAGCACGTCCTGGTTGGCAATGAGAGAGAGGGGATGGGCAGAGGTGTGGGGAGCAGAGGGAGCAGAGGGAGACGAATATTGAGGCGCCTCAGAAGGTGACAAAGCAGATGGTGGAGTCCGGGCTTCCCGCTTGTACGTCCTGGTCGGCAGAGACGGGCAGAGATGGGGCAGCGGGAGCAGTGGGAGTGGAGGGGGCAGAGGGAGCGAAGGGAACCGACCGAGGGAGTATAAGCATAAGCAGTGGCCAGAGCGGCGAACAGAGAAACTGAAGGGGCAGAGCGCTCTGATGGGAATGCGTGTTGAAGCAACTCTGCTCTTCCACAATGCTACCTTCTCCACCTCCCCTCACCGCCAGCATGCCTCAGCTGAGTGCACACACAACTAGCAACAGCAAGAGACAATCCCCGCCCACCTGCAACGTGATCTCGTGCACTTCCGGAGCCGGCAGGTTCTGCTCCAGCAGCTCCAGCACGTATGACTCAATGCCCGACGCCACGCGAAAGCCCCCTCGTGACTGTTGTGCCGACTCAATCAGCAAGCAGACACCACCTGCTCACCTGGGAAGTAATCTCGTGCACTTCAGGCGGAGGCAGGTTCTGCTCCAGCAACTCCAGCGCGTACGACTCAATGCCTGACGCCGCGCGCGGCCCTCGTGACTTTTCAGTCAACTCAACCAGCAAACAAATAGGCACTCCCCGCTCACCTGCGAGGTAATCTCGTGCACTTCAGGAGGCGGCATATTCTGCTCCAGCAGCTCCAGAGCGTACGACTCAATGCCCGACGCCACACGCGGGCCCTCGTACGGCTTGGGGTTCTCCTTGTCGTCGCCGAAGACGAGGATGGTGGGGAAGCCCTGGATCTTGAACCGCTGCGCGAGGCTCTGCTCGACTGTGCAGTCCACCTGCCCCAGGTTCACCCTCCCCTTGAGCGCGCGCGCCGCTGCGCTCCACTCGGGCGCGAGGTTCTTGCAGTGCCCGCACCTGGGGGGGGGGGGGGGGAGGAGGGGGGTGGAAGCGGGTAGGGGGAGATTGGTCAAAGGAGGAAATGGCGAATGAATGGGTGTGAAGTGCAAGGCATTGACAGAGTGTTGGTGGAGAGCGTTGAAGTATCAAACACTTGCTTCTATTTCAAATAACTGATTGGAGTAGCGTTGTTGTGGAAAAAGAGGGGGGGGGGGGGGAGAGGGGGGGTGGGGGGAGAGGAGGAAACGCCCGAACGTGCTTTGTGTTGCAGGGCGCCCAACGCACCAGGGCGCGAAGAACGCCCAACGCACCACGGCGCGAAAAACGCCCAACGCACCAGGGCGCGAAGAACTCGACGAGCCAGAGCTCCTTGCTGTTCACGACCAGGTCGTCGAAGTTGTCGCCCGTCAGCAAGCAGACCAACAACGAGCGGCACGAACGAGCAGCAGCGCACGAAGGAACGGCAAGTCACGAAAGAATGTTAACGCACCAGGGGGCGAAGAACTCGACGAGCCAGAGCTCCTTGCTGTTCACCACCAGGTCGTCGAAGTTATCGCCCGTCAGCACCACCGACGCGCTCGGCCCGCTCTCCGCCTTCCGCCCGCCGCCACTGCCGCCGCCGCCGCCGCCCACCTTGCCACCCAGCCTCGCGCTGACCAGCGATTTCACCTGACAAGGTTGATGCGAGAGAGGGGCGTATGAAGCACTCGCGATAAGACGTCCGGGAGGTGTTTATGCCAGGGAGATGAAAGCGGGTTGCTCCAGGAACGGAATGGGGTCGTGTGTGCTGGAGTATTTATTTTTAGTTAGACTCGCAACGACGTGCAAATACGGCTGTTTGGAGACGCCGTGCGCAACGAAACGGCTCAACGCTTCTCACGGGAAGACTATCGTGCGCGCATCTGTAACGCGCGCAACTCAGTCGCGCTCGTACCGCACCGCACCTGCGAGAGAGCAAAATCGACGATAGCCTTGGCGTCGCGCTGGCCCTGGTAGTCCGCGGGCGTCTTGAGGTGCGGCGCGAACACCTTGATGGTCGGGAAGCCCTGCACGCCATACTCCTGCGCGATCGACGGGTTCGCGTCGCAGTCCACTGCGGCGACGGTCACGATTCCCTTGAGCGCCGTCGCGGCCTTCTCCCATGCCGGCGCGAGGTTCTTGCAGTGGCCGCACCACGGCGCGAAGAACTCGACCAACACGACCTCGCCTGATTCGATCACCTGCGGGACGGCAAGGGTGCGAGTTCAGTGTAAGAACTTATTTTTGAGGCGCAGTGGCCTTGCAGTGTTCGCCGCACCACGGCGCGAAGAACTCGACCAAGACGACCTCGCCTGATTCGATCACCTGGAGGACGGCAAGATATAGAAGCTCGCAGCGAGACGTTACGGTGGAGTGGAAAGGATAAGAAGTTCAGGGGGAGAAGGCGAGAGGCGAGGGGGCAGAGAGGCTGCAACGGAGGAGTAGTGGAAGGTAAGTTCCGAGAGGAAGAAAAGAAGCGACGTTGTGTTGCGTACCGCGGATTTGAAGTTGGAAGGCGAGAGGTTTGCCACGTCGGACGAGGGGCCGTAGAGCGCGGTGATGCCGGTGACAGAGGCGAGCAGCGCGACCGTGAGGAACGCCAGCGACAGCTTCGGCCGAAGGAGCTCCATGGTCGGCAGACGGAACTCGCAGCGTCGCTCCGGAAAGATCGCTCTAGCCAGCCGTGATAAGAACGTTCGCGGATTCAGTAGGTGGATAGAGCGGAGCAGGCCGAATGGGAGTGCTCTGATCGGCTTGCAGTGCTCCGAAACTGCTAGATCTATTCAAGGCCCTCGAGAGTGCAAGGAACAGGGGAACTGTCCCACCGATGAATGGATCACGAAATTCGATTATTTCGGCGTTTGCATGACTCTGCCTTGCTGCCTGCCACTTCGGGAATTGATCGCACTCGACACTCTGGAAGCTGTTGCCACGTCAATTCAGCGCCTATGATTGGTTGAGAGGCTCACTGCCACGGTGCAAGAGACTTGCGACCTACATGTACTCGTTACTGGTCCGGCGTGAGACTCTCAATGAAAGTTGTACCATCTGAAGCTTATCATAAACATAGTATCAACATTTAACAGTCCTAAGTGATATAATATTTGAAGAACACCTGTAAATTTTTTCGGGACCATGTGTTATAGATGAAGCATGTCGCCCCCCCATTGACAGCAGACATGATGACCCCATTCACAGTAATGAAACATGATGCCTTCACTTCACAATATTCAGAAAACAAAATGTCACAATTACGTACCAGTAACAGTAAGTAAAAGAAAACAAATAAAAACAGTTATGAATGCCCAAACGTGAATAAGGGCCACGTGTCCTAACAGTAAATGCCCATCTCATCGGCCGATACCATGTTACTCATTTCGTGACACCATGGGCTCAACAACCCTACTCAATCATCCGCCACTTCTCTGACAGCGAATGGGTGAGCTTGGACGCACTGCTCGTTGCCTCCGACCAGTCACTCCTCCCGAACGAGCCCCGACTGATGCTCTCGCCACGTGGAGTTCCCGCCAAGCGAAGGCTGGGTTCTGAGAGGGAGGAGAGGTCCTCGTCACCGCAGTAGAGCGAGAGGAGGTTCTGGAGGCGGCGGGCGACGTCCTTCATGTTGGGGCGGCGCGAGGCGGGCATCTTGAGGCAGTCCAGCGCGATGTCTGCCAGCTCCACCACCGCCTCGTCCGGCGCCTCCAGTGCCGCGTCCTTCAACTCCCCCAGCTCGTACACCTGCACCTTGTCAAAAGTTAGAAGAAGAAAGAGGATTGAACTAGCAAGAATGAGGATACAAATAGCAAACCCTAGAAGGGTTGTACTCGCTATAGAGCACCCCACTACAGGCTAGAACAATAAGATAATATTCTGACACACCCCCATAGCCAAAGTAGGGTGTAATCAGCAGAGCAGGCAAAGCAAAACAAGCTCAGGGTGGATCACAATGTCACCACACATTCTGAGCACAAGTTCAAGAAGAAATAGTTTAGAGTTCACAATTATAAGCAAAGCTAGTGGTAGTCACAACGGGCAAGTGAGGAGGAGGAGGGAGAGTGAGGGGAGAGGAGACAGGAGGCGACGGCTGAAGCTGCAGACACACGGGCAACAGGAGGCAGACTGGCTCAGCGCCTACCGGACAGCGCCCGGACTACAGGAGTAACAGGCCCCGCGGCTCAAATAGCGGCGGACGGGCAACGGACCCACGGGCGGCTGGCACAGCTGGCTACGACTGGGCTACCGGGACAGCGCCCCGGACTACAGGTGCTGCTGACGACAAACTGGCAACCTCCGCTCATCCTCCCGCACACAGTCCCACCCCCCTGATACACACCCACTGCTACACCACTAGCTCTACTCCCACGCACCCCCCTTAAACCCTAAACCCAGTCTCCCACACAACCACCCCCCTCAGCGACAGCTGCAGCAGTGGGAGACGAAGGAGGAGGAGGAGAAAGGGAGGAAGGCACACCGAGCACCCCCATACCCGCCACCCCGCAAGCGGCCCCCTCAGGTCTCCACGACGGACGACGGGAAATGGCAGGGGGGGGGGGGGGGGGGGGGGGGAGGCGGTGTGGTGAAAGGGGCCCACCACGAGCCTGGTTGGAGGGCGGGGCCGCGACAAGGGGCGGGGCCGCGACGAGCGGGGCGGGGCCGCGACGTAAGGCGGGGCCGCTTCGAGGGGCGGGGCCGCGACATAGGGCGGGGCCGCGACGTAGGGCGGGGCCGCGACGGGCAGGCGCACGGGCGGCGACGGGCCGGGGCGGGTCCGCGACGAAGGGCGGGGCCGAGCCGGGCACGCGCACGGGCGGCGACGGGCCGGGGCGGGTCCGCGACGAAGGGCGGGGCCGAGCCGGGCATGCGCACGGGCGGCGACGGGCCGGGGCGGGTCCGCGACGAAGGGCGGGCCGCGTCGAGCGGGCGCACGGGCGGCGACGGGCCGGGGCGGGGCCGCGACGTAGAGGAGAAGCCCGCCGCACGCCACGGGGCGCACAGCGGGCAATGAACCGCCGCGCGCCTCGGGGCGCACGGCGGGCAGAAAACCGCCGCGCGCCTCGGGGCGCACGGCGGGAGGAAAAAGTAGCAGCGGAAGCAAGGTGGGGACACACCCACAGGATCGATCCAAGGGGATCGACCTGCTCTGATAGCATGTCAAAAGTTAGAAGAAGAAAGAGGATTGAACTAGCAAGAATGAGGATACAAATAGCAAACCCTAGAAGGGTTGTACTCGCTATAGAGCACCCCACTACAGGCTAGAACAATAAGATAATATTCTGACACACCTTGCGAGCTGCCTGCGAGTAGGAAAGGGTGGGGGGAAAAAACAAGGGGGGATTGTGACATGGCCAGTTTGTACCCTTGCACCATGTGCGCCGCTTCGGCAAAGGGGAGGTGGTGGGGGGGGAGTTCATGTCATATCATGAACAAAGGCCTGGATAACACTTGTAGTAAAAAAACAACATGAACACTAAGTATATCGTGTGTTTTCACGTTTTAGGTACCAACATCAGCTGTAAAAAAAACCTAGGGTCTTATGTGAAAAAAAGAAGAGAATTTGAAGCAGTATATTGTGTGTTTTTCCGTAAGCGGCTAGAATTTCTCCCCCCATTTCTCCAAGCACCGTTTCAGAATTGAAGCACCCGGTGTATAGCCTCAAGCAAGCCGTGCGCGAGTGGCATTCTAACCTCGCCTCCACTCTTCACTCTCATGGCTTCTCCTCATCTTCTTCTAACCCCAATCTGTTTCTTAGAATCTCACCCCACATGATTTCCATTCTCGCGTATGTGCATGATTCGATGCTGCTTACTAAGGGCTCTACTAATTTTGCTGTTTTCAAAAGACTCTTCATGCCCGCTTCCTTACCATTTTAGTCAAGCAATTGCTGCACATTTTCAGTTCGTTTCCACTCTCTAGACTGTCAAGGTGAGAGAGGAATGATGTCGACTAGTTTGGGGCATGGGGTACAAAAGTGACGAGAGAAAAGTTGTACCCCCTAAGAAACACCCCTACAAAACCTAAACCTAAATTATATAAATCATATAATTTGACACACCCCCATAGGTGAAGTAGGGGGATAGCCAAACCTAACAGGGGTCACAAGACCAGTTCACATGCAGGTTTATAACACAGCAAGAGATACAGTGATCACATCCTAGCAAAAGTAAACATGCAGGCATATATATATATAGTGATCACAGTACAAGCAGGGTCAAGAAGTAAGAAAGTGAGGTCCAGTAGGCACAAGGCCTAGCAGAGTGCAAAAGCGCTGATGGTCAACAGGCGGAAGCGCCTTGGTGAACACATCAGCAGTGTTGGCCTCAGTGGCCACGTAACGCAGACAAAGCTGACCACGCTGCTGCAGCTCTCGAGCAAGAAAGTACCGCAGAGCAATGTGCTTCGTTCTGTGCTCCAGTCTGTGCTCCTGACACAAGGCAATGGCAGCCTTGTTGTCGACGTACAGCACTGGAGGAGAACCAGGCCGCTCTCCAAGGTCGGTCAGCAGGTAGGTCAGCCAGCGTAGCTCCTGGGCAGCCATGGCTGTGGCGTAGATCTCAGCCTCACAACTGGAGCTGAGAACAGAAGAAGAGCGTGTAGAACGCCAGGAAACTGAGCCTGAGCCAAGGCTGAAGGTGTAACCCTGTGACGACCGCTGAGTAGCCTGGTCGTCTGCCCAAGAAGCGTCTGAGTGCCCTGTGAGAACAGGCCGGTCTCGCCCTCCAAGCACTAGCCCCATGCCCGACGTACTGCACAAGTAGCGCAACACCCTCTTAGCTGCATCCATGTGCTCCTTCCGGTGACGGCCGGGAGCGACATAGCGTGCAAGGATGCTAAGAGGGTATGCAAGGTCAGGTCGTGTGCAGGTCATCAGGTACATGAGGCAACCCACAAGCTCTGGATACGGGCCACTCGGCTCTACGGACTCATCCGAAGGCAGAGCTGAGAGCGAGTGTCCCGTAGGCAGAGGAGTGGGCTGAGGCGAGGAGTACGTGAAGCGAAAGCGCTGAAGGACCTGCTGCACCATGTGTGACTGAGTCAGGGTGATGGTGCGCCGTGCTCTGTCCCGGGTGATCCGCAAGCCAAGGTAGCTTGTCAGTTCACCCAGGTCTGTGCACGTGTGTCTCTTCTGCAGCTCCAACTTCACGTGGGCGAGACCAGCTCTGTCCGCTGTGGCAAAGACCAAGTCGTCGACGTACACGAGGATGTAGAACGGCGGCAGCGAGGTGTCGGTGCGTAGAAACAGCGACGGGTCAGCAGTAGAGGGAGCAAACCCAAGAGCCGCAAGTGTCGTGCTCAGTGTGTCGTGCCACTCACGCGGTGCCTGGCGGAGACCGTAGACCGGCCGCTGAAGCCTCCACTGGGTGCCAGGGGGAACCGACCCAGTGAAGCCAGGAGGGCGGCGCAGCCAGATCTCCTCGTGCAGGCTGCCCTGCAAGAAAGCTGTGCTGAAGTCAAGAGAGTGAAGCTCGTAGTCGCGCTGAGCGGCTATGTGCAGCAGCACCCGAAGAGTAGTCATCTTCGGGGTGGGGGAGAAGGTCTGAAAGAAGTCGACTCCCTCTCGCTGACTGAAGCCCCTAGCCACGTAGCGCGCCTTGAAGACAGGCGGAGAACCCGGCGGTCGCTTCACCCTGAAAATCCACATGCCACTGACGATGTTCGCCCCAGGAGGGGGAACCTCGTCGACGTAAGTGCCAGTGGACTTCCAGGAAGCCATCTCTGCGTCCATGGCTGTCTGCCACTGAGAGGAGTAGGGACCCGCCATCGCCTCAGTGTAGGAGCGCGGGGTCGGGATGTCTGGTGCATCCGGGTCTCCCTCAGGGGCAACAAGCATGGACACGAGATGAGGCACAGCAGCAGCAAAGCAGTGAAACTCCTCCTGTCTGTCCTCAAGGACGTCCGTGCCAAGAGCACACTCACCCCCGACGGACGGAGGACATGCAGACTCAGACTCAGCAACTAGGCTAGCAGCGTAGTCCAGGCGACAGCGAGAAGCAAAGTCAACCAGCTCAGCGACCAGAGCAGACGCAGCAGCGGACTCAAAAGACGGGTCAGTGACGACAGTAGCGAGAAAACGCGTGACAGTGGGACTGGCAGCACGACGGGAGTCAGACTCCGGGTCAGGAAGACTAGGCAGCGAAGACTCAGGAGGAGACGGCAGCGGGACACGCTGCGGAGCAGTGGAGGGACGCAGAGTCATGTAGTGAGTGCCCGGGACAGGAGGAGGACGCTCACGCGGGGCACGACGACCGGTGCGCGCAGTACGGACAGGCGACGCTGGACGTGACTCAGGCGCACGACGCTCAGTAAGGCCTCCCGTGGGACCAGTGTAGGGAGAGGGACCAGGGAGAGGGGAGGCGGGCGGTAACTGTGACTGCGACTGGACTGGCGTGAGACCAAGAACCTGCTGAAGGAGCGGGACAAAGTAGGGTCGCGGCCGCGTAGCGGCTCCAGAACCAGTAGAGACAGCAGCGGCGGGGTCCTCAGCACCAGCGACAACGCCAACGTCCGGGTCCGCAGCACCAGCAGCAGCTCCAACGCCCGGGTCCTCAGCACCAGCGACAACGCCAACGTCCGAGTCCTCAGCACCAGCAGCAGCTCCAACGCCCGGGTCCTCAGCACCAGCGACAACGCCAACGTCCGGGTCCTCAGCACCAGCGACAACGCCAGTGTCCGGGTCCGCAGCACCAGCAGCAGCTCCAACGCCCGGGTCCGCAGCACCAGTCACAACACCAGCGTCCGGGTCCGCAGCACCAGCAGCAGCTCCAACGCCCGGTTCCTCAGCACCAGCGACAACGCCAACGTCCAGGTCCTCAGCACCAGGGGCACCACTCCGGAGACTGCAGCGCCGCGCGTACCACTCTCGGATGTGCTGAATGGGGGGGAGCTCC